GATTAATAATTATTAATTAAACATTAATTTACACTTTAATACATTGATACCTTGTTAAAGTGACTATAAAGTTTATAATGATAAAGTAAAAACTAGTGTTGCGACTAGTGCGACTAATATAATAAAATGTAAAAGTTGTTTAAACACTATTGTGGCTCCAAATGGCTCGAGTGTGCATCGAAGCTAATAATTATAGAGTAATAGATAAGCAAGCTATTAATTAGATAATATAAATATTTAAATTGCTGGCCTATATTGTTTACTTGTTTTGTTATAGTATAATGTAATTATTAAATATTTTTTAATATCTCAATTTATTATTTGATTGCAATTTGAACAATATCTAAATTATTATAATTTCATTTCTCAAATATTTAATGATACTGTATATTAATACATATTAGGTACAGTTTACCCAGATTTATATTTAATGCTAGTTATAAAAGAGTCTTAATTTATAAATACAAAATATAAATGTAATAATCGTTTTTGAGAAACAAGTTTTCAAAACAATGTGCAAAACACGTGGAGTGAGATTTATAACCATATTTGAAGTACTGGTTAAGGGTACCATATTTCTAAAGATAGTAAATTATTAACCAAGTTAAAATTTATTGTTTAAATGTGTTTAAAATATACAATAAAATGAAGATGAATTTAAATAAGTTACTTGAATTAAGGAGTTTGTGTCAAAGTTTAGACAAAATGGTAAAAATATATAAAAACACTTTTTATAATAATTTAAAAATGGAAACCTTATTAGTTTCATTTGCAGATTAAACATTGAAAATATGTTCATAGAGTCAATATTAAATTAAATGTCATTTTAAAAGCATATAATTACAAATTTATGTTTGTAATTAGAAGTTAATCTAATAATTAATTACAACTCCAATACTCGTATGTGCTTGAAAATTGTTTTAATTATAATTTAATATTATATAAATGTTGAAAACAATAAAAATTATTAATGTATAAAATTATACTGATATTTTATTTCAATTTATTTTTTTTCGGAATAATAACATAATATATTATATTTCTAGTTTATAACCTATTTATCAGGTAAGTAATCAGGTAGGTTATCAGGGTCTATAAATACAAATTAATTCATCAAATTCAAAAAAGGTTGCTATTATTTATTGAATGCTCATTAACTTCATAAAGACATGTGAAAATACTTATGTACCTATCTACTATTTATTCAAACCTAGATCATACTGCTAAGTATTTCTACAATAAGCATCTTAATTATTAATAAAATTAAAACAATTAAAATTCATCTTTGTCGTGTTTGTAATCCCTATATAATTTATAGTCCAAGTCATCGTCCAACCAATTGGTCCAGGTGTTATTATGAAACCGAGGATGTGCTCGCTTATCCAATGGCACCCGTGATAAGGCGGGTACTGACGTCTCGTTAAACTCAACCAATTTGTGCCAAACGTATCGCACGAATGAGGGATCGGTTTCATTGATTATGTTTTTGTATTCGCACGGATCGACCCGCAGGTTAAATAAACACATCTCACCCGTCAAACACTCGGGCTTACCATTAGGAACGGGAGGATCAGAGCACCGTACCGTCGACTCGTCCAATACATCATAGTTTGGTTGTCTATTCATTTGAGACAGTACCTTGATGAGAAATTAATATAGTTTGGTTTAATAAACCTTAGAAGTAGAAATTATATGAATATTTAAACCATTTTCAGAAGCATTACCTTGTATATTTTGCAATGATGTCTGTGCAAGTTTCGCATTGTTTCAAACTGCTCGCGTGAATGCATGGGATTGGTATACATGGGTGACGCCCAACTGCCAAACCGTATTGACTGAGTCCATACATCCCATCCCTTATAACTGGAGCTCAGAACGAGTTTCCAATCGTGCCATCGAATGGCAGACATATTATCTACCGGATCGATGTTATGGATGATCTCAGATCGCACCGGTAGTCCATTATGAGACATCGTATCCCATTGTGACACGCCTTCAATTAACACGAATTATAAATACGGAAAAAACATGAATTTAATATTCAATTATCAAATCCTTACCGTAAATATGAGTTTCGTCTGAAAGTAGGTGTCTGTCGCCG